TTGCAGTGAGCGGAGATTAAACCACTGCACTCTAGCCTGGGCGACAGACTCTACCTCAAAAACAAAACAAAACAAACAAACAAAAAACAATACTAAAACCTTCAGAATTTCTTATTTAATTGATCTAGGGTGAGATCTGAGCATAGGTATTTTTAAAAGCCCCTCAGTTGATTCTAATATGTTGCCAGGGTTGAGAATCTCTGGATTAGCCTCAGAGGTAATGGAATTCCACTTTGAGTTCATGCAGATATTCCCCCATCTTTCTTTCCCATCTCTGAGGAACTGCTGGCCTTTCCCCTTTCATTTGTGTTCCTGACCTAATAATAGTGATTATTTCATGAATGCTTGCTGTATGCTAATGATTTTCATATATTATTTTGTTTAGACTTGCATCAATCATGCTTTTTGGAATAAACAAGATGATGGTTACAGAGGGAGGTTTTACAGCTTGTAAAAGCAGGAACCAGGATCCAAACACCTGCTTATTGCTCATGGAGTCATACCTCACAACTATTTTATGTCCATTGTCCTTCAGTCATCCTTCTTCAATCTTTCCATTGACTTTTTTTATTTCCCTCACTGTACACTAATGCTTAGGTTTCCTCTATCCTAAAGAAAGAATAAATTAAAAACCCCTTCTTTTAAGTATGTCACCCTTTAAGCTACATCCATATTTCTTTCTTTCCATCATTTCCAGCAATTTGTAACCTCCTATTTTGCTGTTCAACCTATTGCACAAACAAGCTTTGGCCCTTACTACCACCGAAATGGTTTTTATGTCACCAGTGATTTCCTAACAATCTTTTCAGCTTAGTTTTCTTTTTTTTTCTTCTGAGACAGGGTCTCACTCTGTCATCCAGGCTGGAGTGCAGTGCATAATCATGGCTCACTGCAGCCTCCATACCCTGGGCTGAGGCAATCCTCTCGCCTCAGCCTCCCAAGTAGCTAGGACGTGCCACCATGCCCAGCTAGGTTTTTTTTTTTTTTTAATTTTTATCTTTTGTAGAGACAGGGCCTCATTATGTTGCCCAGGCTGGTCTTGAACTCCTGGCCTTAAGCAATCCTCCTGTCTTAGCCTCAGAAAGCACTGTGATTACAGGTGCGAGCCACCTGCACCCTGCCTCATTCTGTTTAATTCTTGACCACTCTTTCCCCATATTTTTTTCAGATGCTCAATTAATTGGAAGAGGCCAGTGGGAGACAGCTTATTCTCAACTAGCAACAAAAATCTGAAGAACTTAATATTAATTAAGGTCAAATGAGGAATCAGATTTATAGTTCTAGTAATAATTACCTAGTAGCTTATTTTGTACCTATTTAATGCACTGCGTACTATCCAAAGAGGAGACTATAAACTGCTCTCTCTTGAGATGCAGACAATCTTGTTGAATGGGCAAGACTCAAGTTTATAAAACTATTGTCATTTTAAAAATCATTAAGCAGTTTAAAAATGAATCAATGTTATATTGTATGGTACAAAATACAAGTACAGCACGTATTCAAGTTAGAAAAAATGTATTTCTTGGAAAATATACTCACAGAGTACTTTATTAAACCTGAAGTAAATTATAAGGTACAAATCAGAGAGGTAGGATAAGAAGGATAGTTCACGCAGGGACACTTGCACCAGCAGAAGCAAAGAGCTCCATTTCTCAATGATGGTTTTCTCTATTCTTTGGCTTTTTTATAATCCTCTTCTAATACTTCCTTTAGTCTCCAATTTCCACCTCTTTCTGCTTCTGTGGGTCAACACACTTCACACTATAATGCTTCCTGAGCAGACTGACAATCCCATCTCTTAGCTGTGCCTCCTATCTAGATCTATTAACTGCCTGGCTCTTTAACCACCTTTAGAAGATGCTAACAGCATCTCCCAAATTATACTGGGATTGGATCTGAGGAAGGACAAACTAACCAATCTCTTTCTCAACAGAAAGAGTCCTTTCTGCCCCAGAAGAGTCCTTTTTTTAAAGAACTGTCCACAAGGACTGTTCTATTTTAATAACATTTAAAGATCATGAAGTGATGTTCATGTCGAAGCATAGCAGGTGGCTCACATTGGCACAACAATATCATACTTATTTTTTTGAAGAAACAAAGCTTTACCTTTCTAAATTTTCATAATTAAGATCCCTTTAACCTAGATTTGGCCTCACGAAGTGATCTATCTGACTCTGCTTTTTCTAGATGGACTAAAAAATGCCTGGAAATGAAATTTCTTTTCCAGCTAAATGAGTTGCTTTCAAAACTAAAATCCAGGCCTCAAACTTCTAGTACTGTCTCACTCCACTATACCATAATGTCACCCTTCTCGCCAAAGAAATATTATCGGAATCTGGAAAGCATCACAGTATCTGAATTCGTTGCCTAACAGAGTATAGGTCACACAGATTGCTTTATTTAATCAGTACATCTTAACTGAGCAATTCATTTTGAAGGCACTAGAAAATAAGTTAACCATTTTTCAAAAACCAAGACAATTCATCTCATGAGAATACTGCTATTATACCAAACATATCAAATTGTGGCCAAAGTTATAAAAAAGTCAAACAAGGCCATACATGGTTGGGAATGATAAGGTCAATCATTGGTTGGAATACTATCTGGAAGCATGATCATCTGAAGTTGAGTATGACGATGCTCAACTGATTGGACAGAGGCTCCAATCAGGAAACGGAGTGGTCCATGTTGTCACCAACTATGTGTTCCTTTCTAAATAAAACTCTGAATAAGAACCAAGATAATTTCTAATATTTTAGCCCAGCTAACCCCCAGCTAAACCATTAATGGCTCTTTGGAGAATGCTGTAATACTAACTCTGCCTTCTATGCAGAGTTCCGCGGGGCTTTTTGGCACAGTAGGCTTTAAGATGTCAGTGCTTCCTAGTTAGAGAAGTTTTGAGTTTCTTGATTATCATGATGATAAATCCCATTTCCTGCTTTAAATGAACAATTGCAGCGCATCACACAGGTGACACCTGTGCTGCTCAAGTAGTTATAAATTTAAATGCTAGAATCTTGTTCTATTTGGTTTTCATTTTAAGGAAGACAGTGCATTTCTGAATCTGGGCAAGAGACCAATTTTAAATAGGAGTTGAATTTTACCCTCATATAAGTCTTTGATTTAGGGTTGTTAAAAGACAACCTAAAGGTCCTAAATTTGAAGTTTAATGTACAGTCTAAAATACTGACATCACTTTCTAATGCAAGTTGCTTTAAAGATATATATTATTCTCTTTACATAGGGACAGGATCTTTATTGGTTAGTATTTTTTCTTTTTTTCCTGCAAATCACTATTATGTAGAGAAAGAATTTGAGTTGTGGTAAGACGTAAAGTTTAAAGGTAAACATTAAAAGATACAAGACACAATTCATTCATAATAATCATCTTGTTGATGGAGCCAATTTAGAGTATTGGATTGTAGTACATTGTTGTCTGAGAAAGCAATGGTTTCGATCAAGTCACCTAGCCACCCCTAGAATGTAGTAGTAAGAACAGAGGGCTTGGCACATTGGTTTTACACAGACCTCTGTGGCTCTGACCCTGGGCTTGTCATTTGGACCACTCTAATTCTGTGTCCTCCTTTGAAAAGTGAATACATAGGACTGAAGTTTTTAAAATGTCAGTTTAAAAAATTATAGTAAAATACACATAAAACAAAATGTCCTATCTTAACCATACTGAAGTGTAGTTCAGTGGCATTATTACTGTGCAACAATATTGTTATGCAACCACCCTACCACCCATCTACAGAACTCTTTCATTTCCCAAAACTGAATTTCATACTCATTAAACAACAGCTCCTCATTCCCTCTCCCCACACCTCCCGGCAACCATTATTCTAATTTCTGTCTCCATAACTTTGACAACTCAGGCACCTCATATAAGTAGAATCATACAGTATTTATCCTTTTGTGGCTAGCTTCTTTTGTTTAGCGTAATCTCCTCAGGGTTCCCCCATGTTGCAGTATGTGTCAGAATTTCCTCCATTTTTAAAACTGAATAATGTTCCATGGAATGTATACATCACATTTTCTTCACCCATTGATAGGCACTTGGGCTGCCATCCACATTTTGGCTATTGTGAATAATGCTGCTATGAACATGGGTGTACAAGTATCTGTTTGAGTCTCACCTTTCAATTCTTTGGGGTATATTCCCAGAAGCAGAACTGCTGGCTTGTGTCATAATTCTATTTTTAATTTTTAGAGCAACCATTATACTTTTTTTTACCATAGCACCTGCACAATTTTAACTTTACAGGACTGGATATGTTTAAATGTCCCTTCCATGTCTAGAGTTCTAGGACCCAGTACTTGTTTTTAAAATAACCTCTTTAAGTCATTTCCTCTTTAGCTGGAAATCCTGCTCCCTGTGGAAAAACACTGGGATGTCTTTTACTTCAGAAAGCCTTCATTTGGGTTATGTGCCCTCCCGGCACCCTTACTTACAAGTGGCAAGCCCTCATCATGTTTTTAATTTATTTCTTATTTTCCTATAAGACATGAGCTCCTGGAAGCAAAGGTTATGTATTATTCTTCAATATCTCCTTAGTTCTTGACACAGAATAATGAAACAGCAAATGTCTGATGAATGAATAGGTGGGAACAAAACAGGGTCAAATATTTCCAAATGAAGAATTGAAAAAACGATTAAACATAGTAAAATTAGAGAACATTTTTTTCTCCTAATGCAAAATATTTTCCTGGAGAGGCTGGAACTCAAATAATCAAAATGACAAGCATGATAATAAAAATGCCTACCTAGGGCTATCCCAACCATTAGCCAAGGCGGAATCTTTCCACCTGGGCCCTGGTGGGACACCTAGCCTAACATTCTTGCTCCTGCTGGCTGGCATTCCCACAGGATGGGTTATACAAGGTGTTTGATGCCCATCAACATGGAAGTGCAGAAGAGACATTCAATGCCAGTCGATGGAAGAGCGTAGAGGGGCATTCTCCAAGCACCCCCATTCGCTAATACAGTGAACTCCTCTTTGATGCTGGAAGAGATCTTGAAGTTCAGCGGTTCGGGGGGCCCTAGTATATTGGACGATGTGGCTGAGGTTCAGAGAAGAGAAAAGGCGATTCCTAAGTTATGCAGCAAGAAGGCTACCTACGCCCTAGCTCTGGAGACACAGACGCTCTTCGCAGGGATAGAAACTATTTTTAAGATAGTTTTTAAGATAGAAATTATTTTTAAACCACTTCGCTAAGCGCTGGAGGGCAGGGTTGTAATTGGATACAGGAAAATGACAACGCTTCAGTAAGTCGCCTGCATCCCACGCTGAATAAGAGGCACTGGACGCCTGGGCGACAGAGCGAGACTCCGTCTCAAAAGGAAAAAAAAAAAAAAAAAAAGAGGCACTGGGCTGTAGGAGAGTGGTAATATTTCTGGACCCAGACAAGGCGGCCACAACCCTCCTGGGGCAACAACCCTCCCGCCCGGCTGGTTTTTTGGAACCTCTGCAAACACTTTCTCCGGGGTCAGTTTCGCGCCAAACCGGGACGGAGGATGTCCAGAGGTCCCGGGAGTGGAAGCCGCTGTCCCTGTGTCCACTGGGAAGTGGGCGAGGCGGGATGCTGCCGGCCAGGCTGCCCCGGGCGAGGACCCGGGAACACTCACTTGCTCGCTGGGCCTCGGAGGGGTGGGAGGGGCGGGGCGGTGCGCAGCCTCCCCCTGTCAGGTCTGCGGTCCGGGCCCAGCCAGGCTGCACAGGCGCGTAGGGCGCACGTCCGCGCGCCGGGGCTGCCAGGTGAGTCGCGCGCGATCGGGGAGCGGGGCCCACGGGTCGGAGGGAGTGGGTGTGGGGGACCCTGCGCTGACCCGGGAGCGGAGCCGCAAGGTGCCCGAGGAGCATGGGAAGGAGCGCCCCCGCACGTCCCCGCAGCAGGCAGGGGCAGACGGAGCAGCGCCCCCTTCTTCTTTGGAGGCAGCAGGAGCACCCCAGATCCGGTGGCGAGAGGCAGAGGTTCATTTTGCGGAACAAAAAGCCCAGGGCGAGAAGACATTTGACTTGGAGAGAACTGGGGGAGTTAGGGATTGCTGATTTCATCTCATAACTTTTTTTCACACCCAAGCGAGGGGTCTGGGAGGTGGGCAGGGAGAGTGCTTAGGAGACAAACAGAGTTAATCCCTCACCCCATTGATCACCGCCCCGCTGAATGTTCTCAAAGCTCACCCTGCATCGTGGTGGACTGTATGGTGTTGGAAACGACCAAAGACACTGCCCCACCCCGACCCTCAACAAGCAAGGAAAATGTTTCCCCTGAAATGTCTTTCTTCTCTGTCTTGTTTTTTTGTTTCGTTGCTATGGATTCGTGAACTAGCTTGTAATGGTCTCTAAACCTCTAAATTGTATGTATAATATTTACGTGTCCATGCATGCATTTTTCTGAAGCGAGCTTTCAGATATTGTGTTTGTTTCTCCCTAAGATTAAATAGGCAAAACCATATCTTTGGGCTACATCAACATGACCTCTTAATAGTCTTCAGGGAAACTGAGTTGCAGATTCTTATTTAAAGAATTGGGGATTGGCCGGGTGCGGTGGCTCACGTCTGTAATCCCAGCGCTTTGGGAGGCCGGGGCAGGTGGATCACCTGAGGTCAGTAGTTTGAGACCAGCCTGGCCAACATGGTGAAACTCTGTCTCTACACAAATACAAAAAAATTAGCCAGACGTGGTGGCACGGGCCTGTAATCCCAACTACTTGGAGACTGAGGCAGGAGGATCCCTTGAACCCAGGAGGCGGAGGTTAAAGTGAGCCAAGATCATGGCCACTGCACTCCAATCTGGGCGACAGAGCAAGACTTTGTCTCCAAAACAACAACAACAACAACACAAGTGAACAAAAAACAATAAAGTAGGGATTGAGGGAAGAGCCTTGAGGCTCCCAGAAGGGTTGGGGAGAAGGATTCCTGCAGAGACCGGGGAGGACAGCACTCACCCAGTCACAAATTCACCTGTGTTAAGAATTGGTCTGTTTCCCAACAGTATGAAGTACAACTAGGTTTCAAACATGTAGACTGGGAAATCGAAGTGAGTCTTTGTGAATGGAAGGTCTACTTAAGTTTCTTTTTGACAACCCAAAGTGACCCCAGCTTCGGAGCTTCTAAGGACTCTGGAGAGAAGGTGACAGATGAAGTGTTCCGACTGTGCAGCTCCCTGGTCCATTGGCATCTTGGGAAAAGGAGGAAAGAACCAACTGTGACCTCAGCATGGGAGCAGAACCAGAAAAACCCAGGGAGTCTGGGGGAGAGGGAGGACAGCTGAGAGAGATACAGGCATTGTTGGATAAGGAGCTTAACTTACCCAACAAAACTGATCTGCGAAACCAACAGGCACCCTAGGAAAATCACCTTACATCATTAATCCCACTTTACTCATTCCCACCAAATGGGCAGGAGTACTCTGTGGAGGTGAAGTAGTATCTGCTGCCACTTACCTAGATAGCATTTCTGATCCTGCCTTCTTTACCTGCAGAATCTCAGAATCCCAATCTGTGAGGTTCTTAGGTGTGCTGGCATCAGGACAGCAGTCCACAAACGGTGTGTTACTCAAACATTAACATCCTGCAACTAGCCTCAAACAATCACAGCAACTTTCCAATTTCAGAGAAAAAAAGGGCTAAAATTGTAAGCTTTTTCTTAACAATGTTTTATTTCTTAATTTTTGTGGGTACATAGCAGTTGTGTATAATTATGGGGTACATGAGATGTTTTGATACTGACATGCAATGTGAAATAAGCACATCATAGAGAATGGGGTATCCCTCCACTCGAGCATGCATCCTTTGTGTTATTAATACAAACAATCCACTTACACTCTTTAAGTTATTTAAAAATGTGCAATTAAGTTATTATTGACTATGGTCACCCCATTGGGCTATCAAATAGTAGGTATTGTTCATTCTTTCTACCTTTTTTTTTTTTTTTTTTTGGTACACACTATCCATCCCCTCCAGCAGTCCCCCACTGCTCTTCCCAGCTTCTGGTAACCATCCGTCTACTCGCAATGCTCATGAGTTCAGTTGTTTTGATTTTTAGATCCCACGAATGAGTGAGAACATGCAATGTTTGTCTTTCCATGCCTGGCTTTTTTCACTTCCCATAATTACCTCCAGTTCTGTCCATGATGTTGCAAATGGCAGGATCTCATTCTTTTTTATGGCTGAAAAGTACTCCACTGTGTATAAATGCCACATTTTCTTTATCCATTCATCTGTGGATGGACACTTAGGTTGCTTCCAAATCTTGGCTATTGTGAACAGGGCTGCAACAAACATGGGAGTGCAGATATCTCTTTGATATACTGATTTCCTTTCTTTTGGGTATATACCCAGCAGTGGAAATGCTGGATCATATGGTAGCTCAGTTTTTAGTTTGCTGAGGAATCTCCGAACTGTTCTCCATAGTGGTTGTACTAAAATTATAAGCTTTTTCTTCACAAGTTTATTCCAACCTTTGATGCTTTTATTCCTGCTGAACCCAGCTTAGTACACACTTATATTTTTGGTTATGCTGAAGCTGAATATATCATTATTTCTTGCTTGCAAAGAACCCATTGGTTTCAAGTGATCTGTAACCTCCTCACGTTTGAGAACTACTGTTGTAGCAGGAGAAGGGATTATACCCAGGATTGTGCCACATTTGTCTTTAATGTCCTTTGAGTTGAAATGATTTGTTTGTGGACCATCTGGTGTTCTGAGTTGTGGCAGTGAGTTGTACTGGACTCTGAGGCTGGGGAGGAAAGAAACAGCTTCATCCTACTTGCTCACAGCCCAGACTGGTTTTTTGTGTGCTGTTCTTGACTTCACACATATTTTGTAAACTCAGACTATACTTTTATGAGGTTTTATGGAACAGAGATTAAGCTTCCTAGCCAACCCCTCCACCCTTACAATTGGCTAGTCAGTCTTCATTCAATCCTAAACTGAACTATTATTTTTTCAGAACAATAAGGCATTTGTTTCTACGTATAACCCATCTTTTCCTGATAGAATTATTGTTCAAAATGGTCTCCATAACATGGCTAAGGGTTTATTTGGCAATGACAGGAATTGTAATTTTGCTTCTTATTTTAAAAGTCATCAAAGACCCAAGCTTTTTTTTTTTTTTTTTTTTTTTTTTTAAAGACAGAGTCTTGCTCTGTGACTCAGGCTGTAGTACAGTGGTGTAATCTCGGCTTACTGCAACCTACGCCTCTCAGGTTCAAGCGACTCTCATGCCTCAGCCTCCCAAGGAGCTGGGACTATAGGCGCAGGCCACCACATCCAGCTACTTTTTTTGTATTTTTAATAGAGATGGGGTTTTGCCATGCTGGCCAGGCAGGTCTCGAATTCCTGACCTTGGGCGATCCGCCTGCCTGAGCCTCCCAAAGTGCTGAGGTTACAGGCTTGAGCCACTGTGCCTGGCCTAAGAACCAAGCTTTTTTAAATAATGATAGTTGCCACTTCACTAGCCCTTCAGTACCACATAAGTTTTGCTGATGTTACTGATTGTTCTTTAATGCATTCAGCAAATATGAATATTTACTGCACACCTTCCATGTGCCAGGCCCTGGGGTATGAGGTGACTTGTGTTTTGCTTTCAAGGAGCTGACAAATAAGCAGCTTGGACTTGAATTCCCTCCCCTTCTCTTCCTCTCGCTTCTCTGTTGAGGCAAATCCCAATTAGAATGAAATAACTCTGGAGAATTATTTTGGGCGTTACTAAAACTATCTTTACTTCTTTGCTCCAGAAACAGCATTAGCTACTTAGTGGCCTCTTGACGTAATCTAAGAACTGTCTTTGGGACATGCTGCTTCTGGGACTCCTTGGCTGTGACCATTTTCTTTCAAGTTTAAGTGACTTCCTGCTCCTTATGCATGGGTCCATTTAAGACGTTCTGCCAAGGGAGAAGCCATCTACTGTGGTTGCCTGGCTTCAGAGTGCTCTCACTGGTCAGCAGTCCCTGACTCCTATGACCTCCAGTGCTGTGTAGATGATAGTTCCATGAATAGCACTTTTAACTAGAGTCAATTAACTTGGCAAGGAGAGAAGCATTCACTTTTGATGGGTAATACATGGTCCCAGGGAGCACCAGCCTCTCCCACTGAGGATCCTAACAGCTGGCCAGAGGCAAGTTCCATGTCCCTGGGCTATTCTTTCCCCAGTTCATACAGAATAAAAGTAGCAAACCTGTAAATGCATTCTGATCTGCAACTGGACTAAGTGAGATCTGGAAGAGTATACTCAAGGGCAGTCAACAGGGAATGATTCTGCTAATTTAGGATTTGTTAAGTTGGGCTAGTTTGAAATATACTTCTGCACTCCTCTCAGGAAATGCTGGATAGAGTCGATTTAGTATCAGGTAATAATTACAATGGTGGCAGATTCTTATGTAGCACTTAACATGATTCAGGCACCCTTTTAAACACTTCATTTAGTATCTGGGTGACAGGATTAGTCAAGCCCCCAAACCTCAGCACCATTTAATAGATGCGACTAAGAAACCTGCACATGTAACCCTTGAATCTAAAATAAAAGTTGAAATCATTAAAAAATCATCTAATCCTCTCTCAATCCAAGGAAAAGTAGGCACGACAATTTAGCCCTGGTTCACACAATTATAGTTGGCCCTCCATATATGTGAGTTCTACACTTGTGGATTCAACCATCCATGGATTAAAAATACTTTAAAAAATATGTCTGTAATAAACATGTACAGACATTTTGTTCTTGTCATTATTCCCTAAACAATACAGTATAAAAACTATTTATATAACATTTATGTTGCATTAGGTATTATAAGTAATCTAGAGATGATTTACAGGAGGATGGGCATAGATTATGAGTAAATAACATACCATTCTATTTTTATATCAGTGACGTGAGCATCTGCAGATTTTGGTATCCTTGGGGGTCTGGGAACCAATTCACTTCAGATACCAAGGGACAACTCTACAGTGCTTCATTTATTGAGCTTTCCGAGATATTCAACCTTTTCCTGTCTTCACACTTGTTGTTCCCTCTGTTATTTAGAGTAATCCTGATGAAAATCAACAAAATACACACTAAGAGGCAGCACTGAGAGGTAATGTGCCAACTGGTCTTTGTGATTACAGGCACTTCAGATTTCCCTCTTGCCCACTCATTGTGAGATGCAGCCCAGTCCTGCAAAAAGATTGCCCCAGTCGTATCCTGGCTCACCCTTAACTAGCAGTTTGACCTTGAGCACATCACTGCCTCCTCTGTGCCTTAGTTTCCTCTTCTGTTCAATGGGGATGATCACAGCACTACCTCATCATTTGTTGTGAGGATTAAATAGATGCAAATATGTAAGATACTTACAGTAGTGCTTTGTACACAGAAGGCACTATTATTTTTTGTTAATCCCCATTTTTCCTTCCCAACTTCATCTCCCAATATCCCATAACCATGCTGAGTTCCTTACAACTCCCCCAGACCTCCTGGACTAAGTGAGATCTGGAAGAATATACTCAGGGCAGTCAAGAAGGACTGATTCTGCTAATTTAGGATTTGTCAAGTTGGGTTAGTTTGAAATATATCTCTGTACTCCTCTCAGGAAATGCTGGATAGTATAGATTTAGTATCAGATAATAGTAATAATGGTGGCAGACTCTGATGTTTCCTCCTTCCCTTGTGATCTCAGTAGTCTTGGACCATTCATACACCAAATGACTTAACAACTAACAATCACCTAATATTTTTTAAGCTTTTCTTACGTGCCCAGTAGTGTGCCAAGTGTTTTTCTTCCTATTTTTAACATACTATTGACAGCTCCATGAGGTGGCTTTACAGTTTGTTAAAATAATTTGCCAAGTCCACTTCCCCAGTAGACTGTGACAGTGGCTTATGCATCTGTGTATGTTATTCAGCTTGTATCTCTAGGACTTGACAGAGGACCCAATATAGAGTGGGTGCTCCAGAAATGTGGACTTGGATGCATTTCACCAACAGCTATTTACATCCAAATAATAAGCTAATTGTAACTCTTCTAGATGTACGTACTTTCCTCATTGCAAAAATTCACCATCAACATTTTTAAAAACTAATAAACAAGAAGAAGGAAGTTAAAATTGCCCTCCTTCCTGCCCTAGAGAGCTTAATCAACTTGCTTAGGAACATGCTACTAAATGGCTAATCTGAGCATCAAAATCTGGCCATCTGGCTTCAGGGCTCAGGCTCTTAATGGTTGCATTATACCACTGATCCCACCCCATCCACCCCAACGCACACTCCCCTGCACAAACAAGTTATGTTAGCTATTAAAGGGAATTGGAAGAGTGGAAATGTGCAATTCAATCTACCACAAATACAATGTTGCAATGTGTGCAATCTATATTTTTAAAATTTACGGTATTCAGCATTTTCCTGTCTTCACACTTGTTCCTTCCATTATTTACGGCAATCCTGATGAAAATCAACAAAATACAAATTGAGAGGCAGCACAGAGAGGTAATATAGAAAGGGAATGGCTTTTGAGTCAGACAAACACAAGTGTGGATCCCAGCTAAGCCCCTAGATGTGTTACCGGAGATGAGCTGCAAAACATTTCTCAGTCTTAGTCTCCTGTAAAATAGAGGTAATAAGAAACACTTTTCAGTATTTTGTGACATGTAGAAGTGAAGTGATGGTGGCATGCACCACTCTTGGTTAATAGTAAGTCCTGTTGTTAAGTCTCTAATGGCGATACCCTATAGCTTCCCCAAATGGCGACCTTGCCAAATTGTTTTCCAAAGCTACATGTGGCTTTTTTCTCCCAGTCCTTCATTTTAATTCTCATGATAATTTAACTTTTATATTTTTATTAGATGCATTTAGTAACTCACCTCACAGTCATTTTCTTGGAAATTCAATTTCTTCTCCACAGGGTCTCTTTTGAGATTAAAGAGAGAGATGTGGCAAATTTAGGATGTTAGAACAATTTTCATTTAAAAGTAGATCCTTGTTTTTATTACCCTACCATTAATGTTTTCTGTTTTCCTTTATCAGCGAGTTACTTCCATTTGATTCGTATTGCCAAACTGAACTCTCTTGTTTTCTTGCAAGATGAAAGGAGGCAACCATGAATGAGCCACTAGACTATTTAGCAAATGCTTCTGATTTCCCCGATTATGCAGCTGCTTTTGGAAATTGCACTGATGAAAACATCCCCCTCAAGATGCACTACCTCCCTGTTATTTACGGCATTATCTTCCTCGTGGGATTTCCAGGGAACGCAGTAGCGATATCCACTTACATTTTCAAAATGCGACCTTGGAAGAGCAGCACCATCATTATGCTGAACCTGGCCTGCACAGATCTGCTGTATCTGACCAGCCTTCCCTTCCTGATTCACTACTATGCCAGTGGCGAAAACTGGATCTTTGGAGATTTCATGTGTAAGTTTATCCGCTTCAGCTTCCATTTCAACCTGTATAGCAGCATCCTCTTCCTCACCTGTTTCAGCATCTTCCGCTACTGTGTGATCATTCACCCAATGAGCTGCTTTTCCATTCACAAAACTCGATGTGCAGTTGTAGCCTGTGCTGTGGTGTGGATCATTTCACTGGTAGCTGTCATTCCTATGACCTTCTTGATCACATCAACCACCAGGACCAACAGATCAGCCTGTCTCGACCTCACCAGTTCGGATGAACTCACTACTATTAAGTGGTACAACCTAATTTTGACTGCAACCACTTTCTGCCTCCCCTTGGTGATAGTGACACTTTGCTACACCACGATTATTCACACTCTGACCCATGGACTGCAAACTCACAGCTGCCTTAAGCAGAAAGCTCGAAGGCTAACCATTCTGCTACTCCTCGTATTTTACGTATGTTTTTTACCCTTCCATATCTTGAGGGTCATTCGGATCGAATCTCGCCTGCTTTCGATCAGCTGTTCCATTGAGAATCAGATTCACGAAGCTTACATCGTTTCTAGACCATTAGCTGCTCTGAACACCTTTGGTAACCTGTTACTATATGTGGTGGTCAGCGACAACTTTCAGCAGGCTGTGTGCTCAACAGTGAGAAGTAAAGTAAGCGGGAACCTTGAGCAAGCAAAGAAAATCAGTTACTCAAACAACCCTTGAAATACTTCATTTACTTAACCAAAAATAAATACTTGCTGATACTTTACCTAGGACTCCTAAGCGTTCAGGATGTCTCCCTCAATGGAACTCCTGGTAAATACTGTGTATTCAAGTAATCATGTGCCAAAGCCAGGGCAGAGCTTCTAGTTCTTTGCAATCCCTTTATTGAGCTCCTCCATTGGGGAGATAAAGAATTGGATGCGTGCATATCAGCAAAGTGTACAGATATAGTATTACAAGCTTTTGGAACTCAGAGGCATCTTAGAGAACATCTGTTCCCACCAACTTATTATATATACATGGAAACCAATTTCATACTCTTGCCCTAGATTGCTCAGTAAATTAGTGCCAAGATAGGAGAAAACCAATCTTTTCACTCATCATTTCATGCTCCTCTTCACTCCAGACCTGTTAGTATTGAACCATTAGATAATTCAAATCACTACTTGTATCTTTCTTAATATTTATTTTTTACATCTTATAGCTCTACGATTTGTTTCCTTCAAGCTTAACTTTGAGATTATAAAACTGGGTTTAGCCAGTTCTGTATATTACTTGCAAGCCAGTAAGATGCCCTTGAAATAGTTCAAGGACGTCCATGCAAATAGCTGAAATTAGTACCTGCAAGATATTTGGAGTATTATGTCTTTATTGTTGTTAAAAAGTTTTTATTGAATTTATAAAAATTGTCAAATCGTATTCATCATTATTAACATGTCCTGGGGAAGGAAGGAAAACTTTTGAGGACAGAAGTCACTTTCAAATATCATGTATGTATTGGGTGTTCAATCATATCTAACACTGTTTTGATTTTTGTGGGAAAATATTCCAGGAAACACTAATTCTCTTTAGATACCTTGTTCTTTTATGACTACAATGAACATATGTCTATGTAATAGCTAAATATATTTTTGAATTGTGTGTGTGCTTAATTATCAGTAAGTATAAATATTTGAGAAAATACCTGGTCTGGATATTTAAAACCCTCCTAAACATGTTGGTACAGTTAATAAACTTATTTATAATTATGTAATAGACTGTTTGGTCATATTTTTCTGTGAAAATGCAGTTTTATCACTATTATATTTACATGAAACTTATTTTCTCTGTAGTTAGGAACAAAAATAAGTTAAGAATCAATAATATTATAGAATAAGGCTAAAATAGTTGACTTACACAGAGGAAAGGGTACCATAGAAATTCTTCCTGATGTTCCAATTCTTCCAGGACATGACATCTGACTTAGACTTCAGTGAGGATGTTCATCAGGAATCTCTTCAGAGCAAATTGAGGGAAAGAAGAGGAAGCCGATGGATCTGAACATGAACTTTTCTGGACAATGGTGCTTTCTGCAACCCCTACCTTCTGAGCCATCTTCTTCTGAGCCTTTCTATAACATGTGGAATAAGCTATTTCAGTAGAGGACCCCAACTTGCTCGTCTGCGCTGGCTGTATTAGCATCGAGAAATATTCAGAGGTCCACCTGGAACCGCTAGCTCTTTTTCTTTTTCCTGATGTCTAGTCCAGCCCCTGGACTATTGCTAAAGTGCAGACAGACTTGCCCGTATTCCACTGGGGTCATTATTCTAGCCTTGGGCACAAACTCCTTTCCTTTCTCTCCCCATCTTTACTCCTTCTTTTTTTTTTTTTTTTTTTTTTTTGAGACGGAGTCTGGCTCTGTCGCCCAGGCTGGAGTGCAGCGGCCGGATCTCAGCTCACTGCAAGCTCCGCCTCCCGGGTTTACGCCATTCTCCTGCCTCAGCCTCCCGAGTAGCTGGGACTACAGGCGCCCGCCACCACGCCTGGCTAGTTTTTTGTATTTTTTAGTAGAGATGGGGTTTCACCGTGTTAGCCAGGATGGTCTCGATCTCCTGACCTCGTGATCCGCCCGTCTCGGCCTCCCAAAGTGCTGGGATTACAGGCTTGAGCCACCGCGCCCGGCCTACTCCTTCTTATTCCAAAGAGTTCACCCACCAGAGAAAAGCCACTTCAACCTCCTTCATGTCTTTCTCAACTCATCTCTGTAGTTTCTATTATTTTTTACCTTCTTCCTACCAACGTATAGAAAAACAAATCATCCTTCTGGCAGAAATTCTTTCACTGTATCTCCGGTCTTTATTTTGCTCTTTTAGGGACCTTGCTGCAACACTTAATCTCACTTTCTCACATTTTTAACATTTTTATTACCCTGGATAATTGACCTTAGCTTGGGAGCATACATAATTTTCCATTATCCGAAAAACGCCTCCCCCTTGATTAAGTTTTTCTGTCCTTCTATTACCTAATCTTCTTCCCACAGCTGTGGGTTGGGTGCAGATAACAGTCTGCCCTCTAGGGTACTGCCGATAGAACAGAATCACAGAGATCCAAGCTAAATTTAATTCAAAGGGTCAGTTTTATTTTACAAAGTTAAGAGTTCTGGGTTATTTGTGCTGAAGGAGGCAGTTTTGAACTGAGGCCAAAAAAAGGGATTGATGATATTTACCAGGCTACAATGGGACCTGTGTGACCTTGCTGCATACAACCAGGCCTAGGCAGAGAAAGACAGAATGAGAACAAAAAAGCAGAGCTCTGACTGCATCCACCGGGGCAGAGCTACTCAGGTCTGCTTGCTGGGTGAGAACCGAAAGTGCAAGTCAGGCTCACTGCACCTGCATATGGGGAAGCCAGAAAAACCTGTTCCAAACTTCTGAGACACGGTAATCTCTTGCGTTACTTGTAACTCTTTATTGTGGGCATGTTCAAATAGTCACAAAATTTAAAAAGGAACCAAATGACCCATGTCTTAATTTCATCAATAGCCAACATCCCACCCTTCAGGTTTTATCTCTCTCATCTCACATCTTTTTTGCTAGAATATTTAAAAGCAAATTCTAGACAAGATACAGTTTTACCTATCAATGCTTCAACACAGATTTCTTTCAAAACATACAAAACCAAAACAAAATAATAACTGATTCCTCAATATTATCTAATACTAATCCATGTTTCATTACCCCTGTTTTTCCCCAAAGTATGTTTATACGGTTTCTTTTTTTTTTTCCCCAAATCAGGATCAGAGGAAGCTCCATGCATTGCATTTGGTTGATAAGACTCTTAAATTAATTTTAATCTATAAGAGCTCCCTTTTTCTTTATTAATTGCCATTTATTTGCTGAAGAAATCAAGTCAAGTCATTTGTCCTGTAGAATTTTTCACATTGCAGGTCTGGCTGTTTTAATTCCATTTTGTTACTTATCACGTTCCTCCAACCTGCATATTTGCAGTAATTTGGAAGGTAAATCTAGAGGTTAGATTAGATACAGATTATTTGTTATTATTTCCTTCTTCCCTTTTCCTTCCCTTCCCTTCCCTGTTTTCTTTCATTCCTTTCTTCCTCCTTCTCACCCCTCCCTCCTTCATTTCTTCTTTCTTTTCTTTTTATAGGAACACTAATTCACCTTGGGGAGGGGTGCTTGTGTCTGACTGTCCTATGCTTCGCAATTGAGCAGGGCTTTCAGAACGTGTTACTCTGATCCTTCTATCATACGTTCCCCATCTTCCTCCGCTTTCATAGCTTTATGTTTAGTGTTTTCAGTTGCTCATTTCTATTTTGATCCACTAGGTTACTTATAAAATTCTAACATTCCTCTGTTTTTATAAGTTGTAGTTTTTTCTAGAAAGATCTTTGATCCATCAACATTTTGTACCCTCCATTCTTAACATAGTTCTGACCCATGAATCTAGTTACTCTTTCTTTTTTGGCAAGGTAAAGGAAGCAATGAAAAGGGATGTGGAAGCTGCCTCCCAGTACTTCCTCACTGAGACCATAAGGGTTGATGGAAATTTTGACAGGATTTCCTTTCAATATGGGCCAAGTTTTTGTTCTTTTAACATTTTGTGGTTAACAGCCAAGCTTATGAGCTACAGAATTGGAGCAGCGCCCTTGAGGAAGGAGACTAACAGAGGAAATTGCCTTACTGTTGCTGTGCTTCTCCTCCAAACCCACCATAGTGTCTTTGTGTACCCTTTTGGATCATGCAAGACATTTAAATTTTACTCCAGAAAGCTCTGAGCTCTGGAGAAAAAAAAAAAAAAAAAACCAGAATAAAACACTGATTAACTACAAGGCCATATAGCACTTGAGGCCAAATCTTCACTCTTGCTCTAATTTTATTCTTCAATTCTATCCAGCAACATCCTTCCATATAATCTATCTGATATTTTACATTGAGCTCAAATGTTATCAAACAATATAAGGCAGGTAACGTAAAAAGTACTTGAAGCTTGAGAGTTCTTTCTATTATTGAGTTCTCAGGAAGAAATTAAATTTTAATATGCAGTGATCTGTTTTTTAAATTCTATTTCCTGTCTATGCTTCTGTCTGAATATTTTCCATCAGTCTATTTCATTTCATTAATCCTACCTTGTACACATACAATTTATATTTTGCCATTAAACCCATCCATTGAATTCTTAATTTCAGAGATTATGTTTTTTCATTTATGGAAGTATATGTGGTTCTTTTTATTAATTCTACCATTTCAGTGAGTTTGGTTGTCTTTCAATCTATTTTGTCTACCTCTTTCTATATTTTCCAGAACTGAATAATCATAGTTACTTTAAAGTTTTTATCTGTCCTTCCAATATCTGAATTACCTTTGGGTCTGCTTCTATTGTCTGTCATTTCTTTCATGTCTATTGGTCAGGTGATCCCATCTTCTTACATGTCTATTAATTTTTTATTAAATAACAGAGATTGCATATGGAAAGATCAAAGAGGATCCTCTGATAGGCTTACCTTTTCTTCAGCCACGAAAATAGACTTGGGAACGTATTTCTTTAAATTGTAAATAGAAACTGGACTAGGCTGAGACTAGGTTACAGTTTGGTACATTGCAGTTTATCTCTGATTTGCCTTTGTTACTGATACTTAGCGCTTTTTATATATATATACACACACACATATTTGTGTGTAAATATAAATATATTATATATATTTGCATTGACATATTTTGTAGACAGTACATGATGAATCCTGTTTCTATCCCAACTAACATCTCTGCCCTTAGTTGGAGTATCTGGTACACTTATATTTAATGTAAGTATTGATATGGTTAGGTTCAAGTCTACTGTCTTGCTATTTTTTCATTTGTCTCTCTTTTTTTGTATCTTTGTTGTTTCTTTTGTGTTTCCTATTAGAAGAATAAAATATTTTTAATATTACTTACTTCCTTTATTGTGGATTCTTAGCTGTATTTTAAAATTCTTTTATTTTATAGTAATTTTCTAGGGCTATAAATATCTTACCTCAAGTATCAAAAATTATTTAGAGTCAATTATGTTTCTTTTACATTTCACACCTAAATTTTTCCACTCCCTACTGTCATCTTTTCTCATTTCATACTTGATACTTTGTATTTTTCACTTCCCATTTCTTCTATCTTCAAAAATGTAATAACATCATAACAGTACTCACTCTAACTTCTGTTCTATTGCTGTCAAAACTTGTACTTTTAAACATATTATAAACCCCAGTTTACATTGTAAATATATATATATATTTTTTTGAGATGGAGTCTCCTCTGTTGCCCAGGCTGGAGTGCAATGGCCGGATCTCAGCTCACTGTAAGCTCCGCCTCTCGGGTTCACGCCATTCTCCTGCCTCAGCGTCCAGAGTAGCTGGGACTACAGGCGCCCGCCACCTCGCCTGGCTAGTTTTTTTTGTATATTTTAGTAGAGACGGTGTTTCACTGTGTTAGCCAGGATGGTCTCAATCTCCTGACCTTGTGATCCACCCGTCTCTGCCTCCCAAAGTGCTAGGATTACAGGATTGAGCCACCGTACATTGTAAATATTTTTACTTTAGTCAGTTGTCCTTAAGAAAATTACAGTAAGAAAAAAATAGTCTTCTATAGTTTCCTACTTATTTACCAAAACCATGCTTGTCATTTCTTCCTAAAGATAAGAGAATTCATCTGATATAATTTTCCTCCAACCAAAAAACATTCTTTAGCATTTATTACAATGCAGTTGTGCTGAAGAGAAACTTTC